AGGGCGTGGGGCCCTTCCCCTCCAGCGGGGGCCGGGCGGGGGGACACGGGGCAGGGCGTACAGAAGCCGGCAGGGGGGAAAGCTGTAGACTCTGATCTCCTGGGAATCAGGGGGTGGGGTAGGGTGGGGATCTGTCTCAGCCCCTGTGGGGGGGGGGGAGGTTCGTTGGCCTCCTGCCCCCCCTCCTCACTGATTTCTCCCCCTCCCCCCAGTTTCAATCAGCTGGACCTTCCCGCCTACGAGAGCTACGAGAAGCTACGTCACATGCTGCTACTGGCCATCCAGGAGTGCTCGGAAGGCTTCGGCCTGGCGTGAGCCGGGCGCCCGCCTCCGCGGCTCTTTTTGTACTGAGGCAGACTCGGGGGACAGGGAGGGGCCAAGCCATGGGGGCGGGGCTTCGCGGATCTCCACCCCCTCCCTTTCCGAGGTGGCGCCCCCCCTCCCACCACACACACACCCCCCCACACGCGTCCGGAGAGAAGACAAATGATATATATAAATATATATATATTTTTTTTGGTTTAGTTTGCATTTCTTAAGTTGTGCTTGGAATGTGTTGACGTGAGCCGGACAGACGAGACGACGATACAATCTGCTTTGGTTTCTCGATCCTTCCCCTTGCCCCAGCCCCTTTCTGCCCCCACCCCCACCCCGTTGGGCCCCCGCGGAGGGGGAGGGGAAAACAAGGGGGGGGAGACACCCTGAGGTTTAAGAAAATAAATCCCTCCCCCCTCCAAAAGAAGAAAAAGACAAAAAAAAATTAAAAAATAAAAGCGCACTCTTGGTAAGAAGCTCGGCTGTCGTGTCTTCGTCCGGCGCCGCCGCTGGGGGGTGGAGAGTTCATGGGCCCCACAACCGGAGGGGCCTGTGTGACCCGGGCCAGAGAACGGCCTAGAGCGGCTCTGTTAGAAACACACCGTGTGATGATGGGCGAGACTGCCGCACGCCCCTGGGTCGCACGTGCCAGCCGGTGACGCCTCCTTCCTAGGCTGTTTGTCTCCCTTCCGCTTCCAGCTTTGCACTGCGAGCTCCGCCACGACCCCCAAATCTGTCTAGGAGTCGCTGCTTTCCAGGGGAGAGCCCCCCCCCCCCCCAGCCTGTACGCATGCCCGGCCTCTTGTTCCTCGATGGACATGTTTTCCGTTTTGCCGTGTTAAAGCACTTTGCACCCAGTTTGCCAGCCGGCTCTGGAGCAGTGACCTGCCCTCTGCACGATTTCCCACTCCTGCAACGCTTGTGTCGTCTGCAAATTCTATCCGTGCGGATTGTTTTCTGCCAGGTCATTGACGATGTTACATGGGGTTGGGCCAAGCACCAATCCCTGTGGGACCCCGCTGGAAAAGACCCACTTGATGACGATTCCCTGGTTAGACCTATCAGTTAGCCAGTTTTTAATCTATTTAATGTGGGCTGGGTTCATATGACATCATTTTGAGGTTTTTAATGAAGATGTCGTGCGGTACCAACTCAAATGCCGTCAGCACTATTACCTCTGTCAACCCAACTTGTAATCTCATCAACATACCAAGTTTGACAGGATCGAATTTCGATAAGCCCATCTTGATTAACATTACCCTCCTTTAATTCCTTATTAACCGAGTCCTGTTCCAACCTCTCCATTATCTTGTCCGGGGCTGATGCCACATCATGCACCCTCTTTAAATATTGGCATCATATTTCTTCCAGTCTTCTGGAACTTTGCCAGCATGCCAAGACTTACTGGAAATCAGCGTTAATGGACCAGCTAGCTCCTCGGCCAGCTCTTGTAAAACTCTTGGATGCAAGTTACTTGGATCTGCTGATTTTTAAAATGTCTAACTTTAGTAGCGTCTGCTGAACATCCTCTAGAGATATTAGTGGAATGGAAAGTGTTGTAGTCACCATGTGACTGTATCATCTGTTGTCCTCCCAAACACAGAAAAGAAATATTTATTTAACACAGCTGCCTTTCTGCATTAAAATTAATAATTCTACTGTTTCCATCTAGTAATGAACCTATACCAGTGTCAGGATTATTTTTGTTCCTGATATATATGTATGAAATACTCCTTTTTGTCCTTAATTCTGTTGGCTCCTTGTGTCTCTTAGCTTCCCTCATCAGTTTTCTACAATTCATAACTTCTGGTTTATATTCATTGCTATCAACTTCCCCTTTCTTCCGTGTGTGTGTGTGTGTGTGTGTACATAACTCCTTTCATATCCCCACTCAATCTTTGTCAAGGGGGAGATTCTGGCTTTTAGGGCATCTAGTACATTGTCCTTAAATGGTTCCCAATTCTAGTCACATTTTTGTGGTTAAATTCTTCCTCCCAGCTGCCTGGGCCCATCACCTTTTTCAGCATTGGGAAAGTGGCACTGTCGAAGCACCAGGTGTAGCTGTCACTGGGCTGGCTGCAAACCACATGGACCGAAGCTCCCGCTAACTTTTAGTGCTGTGAGGTTTGGACAAGGCCTAAGACATAAGAACATTAGAACGGCCAGACTGTGTCAGACCAAAGGTCTATCTAGCCCAGTGTTCTGTCTTCCGACAGTGGCCAATGCCAGGTGCCCCAGAGGGAATGAACAGAACAGGGCAATTATCGAGTGATCCATCCCCTGTCGCTTGTTCCCAGCTTCTGGCAAACAGAGGCTAGGGACATCATCCCTCTCCAGCCTGGCTTTATAGCCATTGATGGACCTATCCTCCGTGAACTTATCTAGTTCTTTTTGAAATCTGTTATAGTCCTCGGCCTTCACAACATCCTCTGGCAAGGAGTTCCACAGGTTGACTGTGCGTTGGGTGAAAAAATACTTCCTTTTGTTTGTTTTTTAAACCTGCTGCCTATTAATTTCATTGGGTGACCCCTAGTTCTTGTGTTATGAGAAGGAGTAAATAACACTTCCTTATTGACTTTCTCCACACCCGTCGTGATTTTATAGACCTCAATTATATCTCCCCTTAGCCGTCTCTTTTCCAAGCTGAAAATCCCAGTCTTATTCATCTCTTCTTTTTTTTGCCCTTTTCTGAACCTTTTCCTATTCCAATATATCTTTTTTGAGACTGGGCGACCACATCTGCACGCAGAATTCAAGATGTGGGCAAACCATGGATTTATATAGTGGCAGTATGATATTTTCTGTCTTATCTATCCTTACCTTAATGATGCCCAGCATTCTGTTCGCTTTTTTGACTGCCGCTGCACATTGAGTGGATGATTTCAGGGAACTATCCACAATGCCTCCAAGATCTCTTTCTTGAGGGGTAACAGCTAATGTAGACCCCATCATTGTATATGTAGAGTTGGGATTCTGTTTTCCAATGTGCATCACTTTGCATTTATCAACATTGAATTTCATCTGCCATTTTGCTGCCCAGTCACCCAGTTTTGAGAGATCCTTGTGTAGCTCTTTGCAGTCTGCCTGGGACTTAACTATCTTGAATGGTTTTGTAGCATCTGCAAATTTTGGCACCTCCTTGGTCACTCCTTTTTCCAGATCATTTATGAATATATGAAAAGGACTGGTCCCAGTACAGATCCCTGGGGACACCACTATTTACCTCTCTCCATTCTGAAAACTGACCATTTATTCCTACCCTTTGTTTCCTATCTTTTAACCAGTTACCGATCCATGAGAGAACCTTCCCTCTTATCCCATGACAGCTTACTTTGCTTAAGAACCTTTGGTGAGGGACCTTGTCGAAGGCTTTCTGAAAACCTAAGTACACTATATCCACTGGATCCTCCTTCTCCACATGCTTGTTGACCCCCTCAAAGAATTCTAGTAGATTGGCGAGGTGTGGTTTTCCTTTACTAAAACCATGTTGACTCTTCCCCAAGTTATGTTCATCTCTGTATCGGACAATTTTGTTGTTTACTCTAGTTTCAACCAGTTTGCCCGGTACTGAAGTCAGGCTCACCGGACTGTAATTGCCAGGATCACCTCTGGAGCCCTTTTTAAAAATTGGCGTCACATTAGCTATCCTCCAGTCATCTGGAACAGAAGCTGATTTAAATGATAGATTACAGACAGTTGGTAGTCCTGCAGTTTCGCTTTTGAGTTCCTTCAGAACTCTTGAGTGAATACCATCTGGTCCTGGTGACTTTTATTACTGTTTAGTTTATCAATTTGTTCCAAAACCTCCTCTGATCCCTCAATCTAGGACAGTTCCTCAGATTTGTCACCTAAAAAGAATGTCTCAAGTCCGGGAATCCTCAGCTGTGAAGACTGAGGCAAAGAATTCATTTAGTTTCTCCACAATGGCCTTATCGTCCTTGGGTGCTCCTTTAGCACTTCAATCGTCCAGTGGCCCCACTGGTTGTTTAGCAACTTCTAATGTACTTAACATAATTTTGCTATTACTTTTTGAGTCTTTGGCTAATTGTGCCTCAAATTATTTTTTGCCCTTCCTCATTGTATATTGACACTTCATTGGCCAGAGTTTAGGCTCTTTCTATTTTCCTCACTAGGATTTAACTTCCACTTTTTAAATGAGGCCTTTTAGCCTCTCACTGTCTCTTTTACTTTGTTTTACCACGGTGGCTCTTTTTTGGTTCTCTTACTGTTTTTTTTTAATTTGGGGGATACATTGAAGTTGAGTCTCCCTTATGGTGGCTTTACAAAGTTTCTATGCAGCTTGCAGGGATTTCACTTTTGGCGCTGGACCTTTTAATTTCTGTCACTAACCTCATTTTTGTGTAGTTCCCCTTTCTGAAATTACATGCTCCAGTGTTGGGCTGCTGTGGTGTTTATCCTGCCACAGCGATGTTAAATCAAATTCTATTACGGTCACTATTACCAAGCGGTCGAGCTATATTCACCTCTTGGACTAGATCCTGTGCTCCACTTAAGGACTAAATCATGAATTGCTGCCTCTGGTGGCTTCCAGGAGTAGCTGCTCTAAGACGCTGTCATTTAAGTTGTCAAGAAACTCTCTCTGCATCCCGTCCTGAGGTGACATGTACCCAGTCAATAGGGGGGTAGTTGAAATCCTGTTATTGAGTTTTTTATTTTAATAGCCTCTCTAATCTCCCTGAGCATTTCAGGCACCAGCGTGGTCAGTTATATCTCCCTCCTGCTATATTCTTAAGAGTCAAGCATGGAGATTCCATGGTAGAGTTTGATTCATTTAAGATTTTTACTTCATTTGATTCTACGCTTTTTCACATATCGTGTCACTCGCCTACCAGCATGACCTGCTCTGTCCTTCCGCTACATCTTGTACCCTGGTAGTACTGTGTTCTATTGATTATCCTCATTCCACCAAGTAGCGGTGATGCCTGTTCTATCAATATCCTCATTGAGTATGAGGCACTCGAGTTCACCCATCTTACTTAGACTTCTAGCATTTGTACATAAGCACTTTAAAAACGGGTCACTTTTTAGCTGTCTGCCATTCCATGATGCAATTGAATGGGACTCTTTCATTGGACTGTTTCTCATCTGATTTTACCTAGATTTTTATGACACAATCTCCACTAATTGATCCTCACCTCAGGGATGTCTTTGTCTGAACCTCGTGCTCCTCCGCACCTGTCTGCTTTTCTCTCTCTCCCCCCCCCCCCTTAGTTTAAAAACTGTTCTACCCTTTTTTAAGTGCCACGAATCCGGTTTCCAGCTGGTGGAGCACATCCTTCCTCTCTGTTTCCCCTTTCCCCAAAGTTTGCCCAGTTCCTAATGCAGCTAAACCCCTCCTCCCTACACCATCGTCTCATCCACGCACGGAGACCCTGCTGCTCTGCCTGTGGAACTGGGAGCACCTCAGAAATGCTGCTGGGGGATTCCCAGCCTAGGCAGCTGCTGGGAGCAGAGAGAAAATAGTTTCTCTGCCCTGCTTGTACCTGACCTACCCCCAGCCCTGCACCCCCCACCCCAGCTGGCTTAGTGCCCCTCCCTCCTGCCTTACAGCCCCTTGGGCATCACCCCCTTGGCCCCAGACCCTGGGGTGGCAACAGCTGGGTGCAGTGACACCCCCTGGAGCAGGGGGGAGACATTCATTCCCCAAGACGGATGCCATGGTGATTGGGTCGGGAAACAATGGGGCGCACGTCCCGTGCGCCAGCTTGGGTGTGGCCCTGCCACAATGGGTGCTGGTGAGGGGCCATCTTGGGTGTGGCACGTGCTAGATTGGCTCCCCCCGGGATTGTGTCATAGAGAGCAGCGTGATGTCATAATTTCCCCTCGCCAGGCACAGGGAGGGGGAAAGGGGGTGGGGCCAGTGTGGCTGTCTCCAGCTCCCCTATAGGGGCAGCAGAGGTGAGTCCCTCCCCTTCCTCTAAAATGGCTGCTACAGAGACACCCCCACCCCCACCCCCAAGGAGCAGAGGGGCTGGTCCCGCCCCTGCTGGAGAACTGCCCCCAATAGGGGGCGAGGCATGGAACTAGGGGGTGGAGCTTGGAGCTCGGGAGGCGGGGCTGGAGAGCAGAATGAAGCTGGGGGGCGGGACTATGGGAAAGCCTGGAGCTGGGGGAGGGGTTCAGAGCGAGGGGAGGGGACATAAGGGAGGGGTCTGAAGATTGCTGGGAAATTTCCCACTGCTACCACCCTCCCACCCCCAAAACATTGTTGGTTGCGATACCCCCACCAGTCCCACTACCACAATGGGGGGGGGGAGAGGCCAGGCACCTGGGGGGGCAGGACCAGCAGGCCTGGGGTGAGGGTCTCAGCTTACACGCAAAGGGCCTGACACACACTAGGCTGCAAACAGAACCCAGGAGTCCTGGTTCCCAGCCCCGACTGTTCTAACCACTAGTCCCCACTCCCCTCCCAGAGCCGGGGGGG